AAAAAGGAATCCAGAAGATAATAATGATCTCTTTTTATAGCAATTGAATTCTCATATTTAATTCACTGGATTTGTTCTATGGTAGTTATTGGCCCACACTTACAGGATATCCACATTTGCCCAGATCTCTAACTCAGATCTTGATTAAAAAGTGAAATTGGGTATTTTAAGAAGCTGGGTAAAATATGGAGATCCCCTTTGTCATCCACACCATATCTCTAGCTCCGATATATTCAATCATGGGAGGGAAGGATCTAGAAGTTCCTATTAATAAAACTTATTTATTAGATAAATTAGATAGGCTAAAGGTCTATTGTAGTCATTATTTTTTCCTCTATTGGTACAAACAGAATAAATCAATCAGCGCCTTATTAAATATAATGTTATATTTTGGGATTTTTTTCATACTTTAAAACATATATCTAACTATTTTGAGAATAAGCCAGTTCTTTACAATTGTGAAACTTAGGGGAATTGATTCGCTACCCAAAGTATATCTTTCAAGAAATTCTAAAGCTCAAAATGTAGCCTTTTGTAGGTGGAAAGATGCTTTATGCCAGGAGTTCCAGGGTCATTGTACATTTTTTTCTTCATATGGAAGGATGTATTACTTGGCACATAATATTCCTAGCAATATTTTACACGTGGAAATCTTTTTGTTGAAATATTTCCTCCATGCTGGGCTACCACATGTTGCTCTGATGGCCAAATTAACTTTTCCCCACATTCAGAAATTGCCTTGCCTGTGTTTAGAAATTTCCCGTTTCAAAGGTATATCAGAATAACCATGCAGACTTCCAAATGGGAAGAAATAAATTAATTCCAGATGTCAAAAATTGTTAGTGTTCCACAAGGGACAACATTCTTTCAGAGTCAATAAAATGCTAGCAGTTGCATGTTAGAGAAGAGCCTTTTTCAATAGCAGTAGATTTAGCAGAGATTAATGAAGTAAACAGGAAAGCCTTGTGCTATATGATAAAAACAGACTTTACACGGGCAAGCAAACTTTATACTTACTGAGAAAATAAGAGTTTCCAATAGTTCTCCATTGTTAATCAGAAAAAAAACAAGGATAACAATAAGGAGAAATAGCAACTGGATTGCTCTTCTGCAATACTTCAGAAAATAGAACTGATCTTACCATCATTTATTCATCAAAGGCAAGCAAATGACTGAAATGATTCTCTTAGAAGAATTCACATTTTTATTAATGTGGTTATTCTTCAAATAATAGTTAATCTCTAACTTAAATACAAGCATACTTCATCAAACAACTTCAGTTTTTAATTAGCACCGAAAAGAAGGATTTAAGATTGTCTTATCAAGATATTTTCCTTATAAATGGCCCTGATTATTAATTTTTTTGAAAGACAAAGGCAGACAGATAAACCAGGATGGATTAACCAGGTCTGACTGTGCACATCAAAAAGCACAATGTACAACAATGACTGGAACATGACCAAACCACTGTCATAAAAAAGCTCATTGTCTTGCAAGTACATTTTTATTCCTGAAGGAATGTGCATATGATATACAACGGAAGCAGAAACACGCTACCTGCTCAACCATACAGTACAATAAACCAAAAAGGAAAGAAGTAGTGCACTAACTAGCTATAAGAAGCTTCCAAGGTCAGTAAAGTATTGTTAAGATTAGCATGCACCCAACTTGTGAGCAAGTCACTTTTAAGTCTTCATATTCTACTGTTTTTCCTGGAACTCCATCCAAAGGAAAGACAGGAACAATCACTCTCTGTGTCCTACTCTCTTCCAGACAGCCAGTTTCCACCCTACTAAATAGGCTGCTAGCTACAATACTGAGTCACACAAGAGATCTAGCTGTTTCAAATACCATAACAATTTAGCCAAGCCTTTTCCCTTTTATATTATTTTGCCTGGTTGAACATTAAAAAAATCAAATGATCTTAATAATAGCTGTTTTTGATCTTATGTGGATCTCATAGGTCTTTCCAAAACTTTGGACTTGGAAAGAATTAGTATACAGAACTTCCCCAGTTGATCCATTCTCATTCTATGATAATAGCTTGTGATCTGTTCCCTTCTTTACTAAAAGTGAAGTGTAGGTGTGCAACAGGCCAAAATATTGGGTTCAGAAACCTTGCCAGAAGAAAACTCTGACTGAGCAACTCTATGGGTTTATCGTAACCGTTGGTTGGCCAATATACTTTCAATTTCTGTACACTAAGGAACTGGCCTTACTTCCTTGAGCATTGTGCTGCATAAACCAGGTGATCTGAAAAGGGGTTTCAGAGGTGGTGAATACTGCAATAAGGAATGAGATCATTCCCTCAGTGTTAATAATAGAAATAGTGAAACAATTTCTGACAAAAAAAATTAATTTAGATTAGATGGATTTTGAACTCCATAGAATTGGTCAAGTGGCTAATCTTCAAAGAGGCTAATCGTGTAGATCCATTTCAGCTTGGCTATGTGAGCCTGCCTTGATGGAGAACTGTTTTTTTTTTTTGGCTTTCATAAATTCCCTAGTGACTGTTAGTGTCAAGGAAACCATGGTATCCATCTGTACAATCTCCAGGTGCTAAAGCATTTCCAATCCTAGGTGTTTAGCTGGAGGGGAGAAGATGGTGCTTCTGAAATTTATACCATGGTTTCTGGGTATGGAAATTCCATTTTGCCTCCCGTGTTATTAATGTATGTGAAATCACTAGGGGGACTCATTTGGAGATATGTTAATGTATCACCAACTTGTAGATACAAGCTTCCAACCTTTAGTCTCCTTAAAATAGTAAGATTCTGAAAGCTAATGTTTCTGTTATTTTCAGATTTGGTTAATTTATTTTATGTATCCATTAAGTTTGAGATTTGATAGACTGAGATGTTTACTATATATCCCTATATCTTGGCTTGCGTTGTTTTGATTAATAGTTTTTTGTTCATGCTTTCTCATTTTCATTTTCATTATTTATATATAGTAGATAGTGAAAATCACTTTATGAGGGCTGTACCCTGAAACCAATGTAAAATTTAGTTTTAAAAAACCCCATGTTTTCAACCCATTAACTACCTGCAAGGAAAAAAAACTTGGACTGAATGATGATCAGCTCTTGAGTTTCCCCTCTTCTCATAGGCTTTGTGGAGTATGGACAAGAAACAGGTTTTCACAGAGAAAACCTTTCACACAGGTTTTCAGTTATGTTCCCCAGAAACATAATTGGCACAATTGACTGGTCCAAAAGTACCATAGTGGATTATTTCAATTTCAATCAATTGTTCATCATCAGTTACAGACTGATATTTACAATTAGTCCCAACCCTTCTTATCTTTAACAAACTTGTTAAAGATGCTTTGTTTGAACATGTTTTTGGCTTTTAGTTATACTTAGGAGCCTTGTTAATATGCTTTTTTATTATACATTTTATATGAAATATTTAATCTGTCACCTGCTCAAAATATGACAGGATTGAGGCAAGATATGTACACTGGGAAAAAGTAACAATTACCTTACCCTAGAGGGCTCACTGGCTTCCCAGAAGTGACCATAGAAAGTTCAAGAGTTAGGGCAAGAATGTGTTTTGATTAATCATGGCACTATAAGGAAACTATATCATTTTTTTACTTAGATACTATACACCAAGGGTCTCCAACCTTGGCAACTTTAAGACTTGTGGACTGCAACTCCCAGAATTCCTCAGCCAGCTTTGCTCAGCCAGCTTTCCAACTTTAAGACTTGTGGACTTCTGGGAGTTGAAGTCCACAAGTCTTAAAGTTGCCAAGGTGGGAGGCCTCTGCTATACACAAATGAGATTTTATTGTGGGAATCTTTTGTAACTTGCTTTTTGGTGGCTGTAGCTCTAAATTTGGATAGAAATACTCAAAATTGATGAGCTTGTTAAGGCTGTGGTTCAGAAATCAAATCTCTGGATTAGGACCAATAGGAAAGAAGTACCAAAACCAGCACATAATGGATGAGTGGAGGGATGGGACAAGGAAGAGATATTGAGCCTAATATTTTTTATAAAGTATAAATCAAATCTAAACCCAAATAGCCAATATATGGAGAAAATATAAATTATATGTTATGTTCTTGGGATGTTTGTAATACCTTGTTGTGCTATCTGCTCCAGGTGCTTTGTAATTATTTTGGTGGTGAACACAAATTCTGTGCTGAGAATTTGAGATTTTTCAGGGTGGTAAGATTAAGGTGAAAATAGGCTTTTTGCCCTCTTTAAGAGGGCAAAAATTCTTAAGTAACAAATTAGGATGTTCTCCTTTTTCCCCATATGCAAAATCTTGAGCATGCTCATTCAGATCTTGAAAATTGGCACTTTCAACTATACAGATAACCAAAGACATATTATCATATGGATCTTATACTGAAACAAAAGCCCACTCAGCAGTTTGAGACAATGTGAATACAATATTATGAATATTTAACCTGAACCTTCAGATATGAGATACAAAATGCAATTTCCATATCTTACTGAAGTCAATAGAAAACTGGAAATCAGGTTTACACTTCTAGATTGTTTAGGATGATTTACAAAACTTGCCAAGAAAAAAAAATGTAACAGTTTGTATTATTAACTCTATTGTGATGAAAGGCTCAGATGATTTTGACAAATTATATTCACAGTGGAGAAATCTCCTAGAAAGATGATCTAGTAGAGAAAAACTAGTCTGAAATCCACAAGTACCACTTCATTCAAGTATCAAACTGTGAGGAAAATCATCCATGTAGTTTTTATTTCAGAAACTAAAAGACAAGTTAACCCATAACTTCAGACTAAAATTCATGAGACACCAAAGAAATAATCAAAAATGAAAAAAAATCATTCCCGGATTGCTTACTTACACTCACTCTATACTTGCATACTACAGCAATCTGCCTCAAGGCTCAAGACTTGAGAAACAATGCTGGATGTTTGAGGTAAATAAATACTGAAAGCAAATTATAGCTATTTATTTCACAGATTATCTATACTATACTCTAGATCACAAATAGAGAACATAGTACTTACTCCGTGGTTCCCTTGGTCCATCTACTGTCACTTTTATAGCTCTGTGATATGTAGCAACTTGAGGAGGATTTGTAAGGACAGTTATTGTTAGAGTAAAACTTTTCCCTGTTTAAAAAAAAGGGAGAAAAAAAATAGTAATTACTATAGAAATGTGTGCATGAAATCTAAAAAAAAAAAAAAAAAATTCATGAAAGGTTAAATTGGAATGGAGCAAAAAAATATGTATCTGCCCTCCTCACTAATTGTGAAATTCAGCTGAGTATCACAAATTTAAAAAATTGAACTTTTATTTCAGATCATGAGATAGCGGCAATAATTACAAGAAATATCTTCTTCAAGAAATGGACATTTTTGCTTGAAGAGCAAACTGCTTGTAAGTAATATTTGCTTTCAGGACATGTTCAGATCATCATTTTAATGCTATAATGTATACTAGCGTCTAGGTGAGTCAGTCACAGAAATTAAATAGAAGACGTCAGCTAAGATGTGAACAGAATTTAGTCTTTTCACAGTCCCTGTCCACAGTGGCAGATAGAAAAGTGTAGGATGGAACATGGCTCTACCTGTAGAACTAAGAATGCTGAATAAGTCACCTAAGAGTAGAATTCTCTCAATGCATTCATGTATTTCTAGAGTATTGTGGCTCACATCACAGGGCCTCAAAGAAAAATAAGCAAGGAACACAGAAGGCATTAGATATCTAGATGCATTAGATATCTAGATTGGTCTTCTTGTAGAAGAACACAGTATGTATGTTTCCTTGACCTTTCAGAGAAAAGCTGGGATAGTATTACCACATAAAAATCATAAGAGCCGTGGTGGCACAGTGATTAGAACACAGTACTACAGGCTACTTCTGCTGACTGCCGGCTGCCAACAGTTTGGCAGTTTGAACCTCACTGGCTCAAGGTTGACTCAGCCTTCCATCCTTCCGAGGTTGGTAAAATGAGGACCCAGATTGTTGGCGGCAATATGCTGACTCTGTAAAGTGCTTAGAAAGGGCTGTAAAACACTGTGAAGCAGTATATAAGTCTAAGTGCTTTTGCTATAAATAAATACGCATACAAACTAACTACAACAGCTAAGGGCCCTGTAACACTTATACCTAAAGCTATGGAAAAGCAAAATCTGCAACAGGCCAATATGTTTCGAAAGCCACTAAAATAATGAATAACTGTTCAGTTCTTCAGAGCTCTGCATCAAGAAAAGAAAAGAAGACTGGGCATGGGAAGCTTCCTTGATGTAAAAGATCTACCTCAATCACAGTCTTCATTTTAAAAAGTATGGTATTTTTTGGACTATAAGATGCACTCCCTACCCCCCCCCAAAAAAAAAAAGTGGGTGGAAATGTCTGTGCATCTTATAGAGCAAATGTTGCTGAAGCACCGCCCACCTGCTGGCCCCCACCCGCTGGCCTCTGCCTCCCAGCAATTTGCCTCCTTGCAATAAACAGCAGTCTGATCAGCTTCAGCACAGCTTGATTTAGCATGAGCAGCTGATTGGTAGCTGAATCTGCCTTCCGGAATACCACCGATCAGCTGTTGCAGGCTGTGGGGAATCACCGCCACCCATTGGTGCTACCACCGATTGCCACCTCCATGTGTTCCATTTTCGGCCTCCGTGCATCCCATTTTTGACTTTTGCGCACCCCATTTTCTGCGTCCAGCCACCTGGAATGGGCTGAAAAGAGGACGCACGGAGGCCGAAAGTGGGGCATGTGGAGGTGGTGATAGGTGGCAGTGCCAATGGATGGCACGAACGTTGATGGGCGGCAGTGATCCCCACAGCCTGGAACAGCTGATCAGTGTTATTCCGGGAGGCTGATCCAACCGCCAATCAGCTTCTCGTGCTAAATCAGACTGTGCTGAAGCTGAAACGGGCTGTTTGCTGCAAGGAGGCAAATTGCTGAGAGGCAGAGGCAATTTTTTTTCCCCTTCCCAAAAGCTAGGCACATCTTTTAGTCTGGAGTGTCTTATAGTCTCAAAAAATACGGTAATTGTAGACTTAACTGAATTCAATTCAATTTTGTTTCGGTCAGAAAAAAAATAGAGAGAATATTAGTATCTTTAAAAATACAAAAGAATTAAAAAGGACAGGTTCTAAAGAGAAACATCCAGCAATAAATTATACCTAATTAATATTCAGCATTTTCAACTGCAAAATTCAGTCCTAAATAATGCCTACTTGGATATGTTGCATACACAAAAAAATAATCTAACAGACCAGTTTCATTGAGGAAACGTTAGAGAAGATTACAAGTAGGATATACAGAACTATATACTGTATATTACAAATTTCACATGCAAATGATCTGTTATTTTAACTATAGAATTCAATGGACTAAGTGAATACATACGATGTCAATTACATTCACACTTCTCTGCACACGCTTAGAGGAACAAAGTAATAAAGTGGATACTCAAAGTGAAGAACAGCGATAATGAGGAAAGACTCCTAGTGAAGTAAGACCTAGGTTTGCTGGTAGCTGAAAGAAACCAGCTTGCAAAGCCACAAGATGTAACTGTTTCCTGAAGAGAAGGTCAGATTCAAACACCAAAGGCATTCTTACATCTTTAGGATTCAAAGCCAATATGGAGATCATGTGACTCTGTGGGTACACAGGATGCTATGCTACAGCACAGTAGCTTTCCATTGAGAAGAGCAAGCAACGTCTGGATCTGGATCTCATGAATATAGCTAAAGAGATCTTCCTACAGATAGAGTGTGAATTGCAGCAGCCATGAACATCTGCAGCATGTCTGCAGCAATAGGGAAGAAGCCATACTATTATTAGTTAGGACATGACATATGAACTGGACTGATATAATTTGCCTTCCACAGAAAGCCAAATTCTACTCCAGCACTTACTGTAAGGGAGATCTGCTCAATCGAGGAGAATTTCTCTTTCTCCTGCTGTTTAACTGAAAGGAATGTGCTGTTTTTGCATTTGACCTCACATGGTTTTATCATTTAATTTGACTTTATCATAATACAGAGAACTAATATATATTACTTCTGGGAGCCATAACAGAGCGCCAGGGATTCCTTATGTTCAATATGCCTGTGGTAACAGGAGGCTAATGATATAATTCACCAAGAAAATGAGAGATGGTCCCCCTTTCCCTGGACCATTTTCCAGCTATTAAATCTTAAAGAAACTATCTGCCCAGGGTGAGATTGTGCTTTAAATGCATACAATGTATGTTCCACTGAAAATCCCAATTACTATAATAGAAATTCTGCAGTTAAGATGGATGTGGTGCCCTGCAACTCTACAAGTGTTGGGAAATGGAAAACAGCCTACAGAGAATAGACCGAATTTTCACCCAGGGAAGTCTGTGGCCTTTGTTTTGCGAGTCACTGACAGCTCTAATCAGTGAGATATGCAATTGTTAATCATTTCAGATAGTCAAAACTGCAAACTGTTTCAAGACAGGAAGAGGTGGGCGTGCAACAGTGACTCAATGCAACAGTCAGCTATCTCATGGCTTATGGCTCACTTTGCCTCCTGCTTTACCAGAATCTTTAAAAGATCTTTTTTTAAAAAAAAACCAGCCATCTAGGGACTTTGGTCTTCTACCTATTCCATCCCACTTTATGGAACTCCAAGAGTATTAATGAAAACACAAAATGTTAAGAAAATGTAGCAGCACTAAATGTAATGTATTATTTCAAAGTCTAATACAAAACAGGAAGTGTGACTGAGTGGGGTATGTGTGGGTGTGCAAAGGCACCCGCATGTGTAATACAGAACAGGGCTGTTGCTGTCTCATTCAGCTTTCAAACCTTCCTGTCACATCATTTATTATCACCCATGTGGTTTCAGAACATTTGGAGAAACGTTAGTCCAAAAAAGAGAGAATGTAATAGTAAGCTTCCAATGTAACAGTCACACACAAAGAGAAGGCCTGCTTGTTCTCAGTGCAAACTGACTTGCTCAGGCTATCCATCTGACTATTACAGTACAGTTCAGGGGTGGGATGCTACCGGTTCTGCCTGGCTCTGTAGAGCCGGTAGCTCTGAAGAGCAGCAGACACAGAACCGGTTCTGTTGTCTGCTGCTGTTTGGCCCACCCGCCCGCCTGGGCTTTTGCCTGTCCTTTATTTTCTGCTTTTTCAACCTCAGCTGCTTTGCACGGCACAGCTGAGGTTGAAAAAGCAGGGAAAAAGTGGCTTTTCAAATGCTGCGCACCCGCGCGCAGCTCTTATCAGCTGTCCAGGTGGCACAGCTTAAGGTTTTTTTACACACACATGCAGTATAATCACTGAACTGGTAGTAACTCCAGTTGAATCCCACCCCTGGCACAGTTTATATCGTAAAATCTACTCAGAGCGAAGGGAGGCTGTTGAGATCTTTAAAAAATACATAATATAACAGCAAAGAAGTCAGGTCTCACTTTCATTTGAAAAAAGCAGAAAACAGTTATTTTAACTGATTTGCCTTTCTATTCCTGATCTCTGACTTAATTCGAGTGTTTTCCTTTTTTTTAGACTGTATTAATTTTAACGTACCTTATTCTTTATAACAGTACCTTTCTGCATCATTTCAAATATTTTCAGAGTACAGAATGTAACTAATCAATTCTAGAAATGAATAACCCCCCATAGTATATGGCACTAAAATAATGCAGATGCTTCTTGAGGATATATCTGAACTGGTCAATATAAAGCCAAAGAAGTCTGTGTTCAGATTTCAGGATCTGTGGGGAACTACAAGAAAATCTGTTTAATTAAGCTATAAGAGGAAGATACTTGGTGTGCTTTTATTATATTCTACCACATCAAAATACTTTAAAAAAAAACACAATTCTACAACCCATGGGACAGTGTCAAGCACAGATTTCTAACAAGGGGGTAATCTGATTATAGAGGCCTCTTTCAAATCAGCTACCAGGAGTGGTACTTGCCGAAGCTGGAAAATAGTCCCTCCACCCATCGTTCCATAGGGATTTTAGACCAATCATCGAACTTGTCTGTCCTGTTTTCCCTTCCATTCCTTTGATATGGGAAGAACAATTAAAAACCAAAATGGAAGCAAAAAGAGGAGCCAATCTTTCCCCAACTTCCCAGAATGAATTTTTCATAACTTAAGATTCTTAGGATATA